GATCCCCCCCCGAAATGACCTCTGAACATAGCAATAGAAGCCAATTACAGCTGCCGAACAGATGCAATGTTTTTCAGAGTTTCATGATTTCTAACAAAATCACTTGCTTTTGAAGAATTAGAATTGGGAGCATTTGATGTTGCAGGGTCAGTGGGAGCTCCCTGAAGACTAACATTTTCTATCTGCTGTAATTTTGATGCAGTTCATAGGGAAACAGAAAATGCATGTTTACTGTTGTCCTTTAATTCATGACATTGATAATATGTGGTTTCTTGACCTTATTTGAAAGTAATGACATCGCGATCTATGACCAAATGGGCCATTCGCTCTATATCAGTTAACATCTAAAACATCTGATATACTGATGGTCAAATTATCTTTAGCCTTTCTTAGGACAGATGAAACAGAGTTCTCTTTGCTTATGAATACAATTGGTGATTCACATATGACTGTGTAAATGGGAGCCATTGGAAAAAGTTACCTTTGTGATTATTTGAGGTGACTTGAAAGCTCTGTTGTGTTTCGATCTCTAGCTCATTCACATATTCAAGGCACCACTTGATGCGACACTGATTTTTTTTTAACAAGAAGCAGCAGATTGAAACAGGCTGACTGAAAGTAAACCCTACTTTTATATGTATTTTTTTTTAATTCTCCCAGTGGTTGAACTTTTAACATGGGGCTACTTAGTGCTCATTTTCACATCTTTAGCCCATACTTACTACAAGCTTCAAGGAACTATGGGTAACATACATAGTTCTGCTCTATGATCCATATGATCCATATGATCCACCATCTGAGCTGGATTAAGCTGAGAGAGAGAATGACTGCTTGAGGGTCACCCTGTGAACTTCATAGTCCAGTATACTCTCATATGTGCTAGTGCAGCCTTTAACCACTATGCCACACTTTGTCTACACACTAGATATCACTTGATAATTTAGAGCTGAAGTATGAACCATCTGCATTGAGAAGCGCAGTGGTTGACGTGATATGAGGGGGCTTGATCTAGAGTGACCTTTTCACATAGGGAATTTTATCACTTGATATCTCTGTGAGTGCTTTGTTGATTCTTTGGATTTTATGCAAGATCTCGTGTGCCTAGTCTTGAACCTCTCTTTGATCAAATTGTTAGACTTAAATGGTTTAATGAGGAGTCACTGGAATATGGTATGCTGAATCTACATGGGAAAAAGGCAAATAAGAATCACTTGCATTAGTTGGACTCTACTGTCAAAGCAGAAGCCAAGGAAACTGCCTATGTGTGGCTTTCACACATGTACCTCCCTATCCAGGCATGGATCATAGACTGAGTAACATGACTACCTCTTTGCAATTTTAGGAGCAATATTTTAGGCGGAACTGTGGACAGGGAAGACAGATTCTGAATGGAACTAGATTTTATCTTTAAACATAAAATGTGAAGAAGGAAGATAGATAAAAGGACAAAGCAGTAAAGTGCACCAGGATTGGAGGATATACTAAAAACTAGTAAATCACACAGATTTGGGGAATGGTCAATATACAATTTGAACAATTCCTTGTGGAAGCCATGCTTCTTAAGTTAGATAAATTCACCTATGGCTTGCTTGTCCATGAAGGGTGGATGTGCAGTGTTCTCAAGAGAGATGGGGGAAGTGGGGAGATGGAGATGTTGAAGATGAGGAGCAGAGAAGTTGAATGGGAGGGATTTGAGGCTGTGCTGAGTGGCTCAGAAGATTCGGAGTGCTGTGTTTGAGTGAGAGATGCTGGAGATGGAACTGTGGGATGGCGGAGGAGACAAGTGCTGAGGCTTAAGGAAGAAGGAGGAAAGATTCATATGGTACTTGGTTCCTGATGAAGATGAGGAGCAGAGAAGTTGAATGGGAGCGGTTTGAGGCTGTGCTGAGTGGAACTCAGAGGATTCGGAGTGGTGTGTTTGAGTGAGAGATGCTGGAGATGGAACTGTGGGATGGCGGAGGAGACAAGTGCTGAGGCTTAAGGAAGAAGGAGGAAAGATTCATATGGTACTTGGTTCCTGATGCTCATGTGGTCTCAGAGTTTCAGTGTGAGTGAATGATCTGAGCAGAATGAAGTCTTTTTCTGTTGCAGTGGTAGAGAACAGCCTGGTCATGTGACTGGACCTAAAATGAAGAGTTCTGTCCTTTTTTTGACAGTGGCAGGGAAACAAAGTTCAAGGTACTGATATTACACTGAGGCGGATGCTGATAGGACAGGAGATGAAGTTATCCTTTTGATAGGATGATTTGGTTAGGTTACTGGGCAGGGTGACTTGGTTAGGTTACTGGACAGGCCTATAATGTAAAGGATTCTGTTGGTGGATAAGGAATGTAAGACAACAATGTAAGAATGTAAGTTCAAGGTACTGATATTACACTGAGGCGGATGCTGATAGGACAGGAGATGAAGTTATCCTTTTGATAGGATGATTTGGTTAGGTTACTGGGCAGGGTGACTTGGTTAGGTTACTGGACAGGCCTATATTGTAAAGGATTCTGTTGGTGGCTAAGGAATGTAAGACAACCCCTCACATCCAGGCCTAAATGAACAAATGTTACTTGCACAAGTACCATTTGTTCATTTAGGCCTGGATGTGAGGGGATCCCCTATAGGATAAATCCTTGATAGGGGTGTGTGACAGCTTTCTCTTGGGAAGCTTTCTCTTGGGAAGCTGACTATCTTTTCAAGAGATGCGCTTGATTGCACACAGGCCTGATTATGATTTACTGGTTGGATTCAAGATGGTATGTCTGTGTACCTCTGTCTGCATAGGGCCCTGGGATCTTAGGGAGGTCCTGTGTTTGGTGGGGTCGGGGTCTGTGGGTAACACTTCCATTGAATGTTCTTTGCTTTTGATTGTATAGTTAACAGTATCTCAGTGTAGTGGGGTAGGGATTATGAGCAATATACCCATAGGTGTTGTCAGAAGAATGAAACTAACATATACAGTTCTTCCTTTATCTAATAAATGCACCAGTGAAACTGATTGCCCCATTCATTGGTGATATGCTCATACATGCAAAATAGCTATGAACAAAGCATAATATGGTGTGTTTGTTCTAGGTGGTCAGCCATGTTGGTAGAACAAATTTAGAGTCCAGTGGCACATTTAATATCAACAAAGGTTTATTCAAGGTATGAGCTTTCATGTTCATGCACACTTTTTCGAATTTTATTCCATTTCAATGTATTTGAAAAAGTGTGTATGCACACGAAAGCTCATACCCTGAATAAACCTTTGCAGGTCTTAAAGGTGCCACTGGACTCTAAATTTGTTCTATGGTGTGTTTGATTTATTTTCTGGTTTTGCTTCTTTTTAATTTGTCTGTTCCCCTATCACACTTCACATTAAAATCTACTAAGGTTTGTGGTTTTATGCTGGCTTGGAATGAGGGCAGGGCAGTGCTGCTAAACTGGAAAAGCAACAGAGACCCCATTGATACTAGCTGGATACACAGCTATTGAATACATTCCTGCACTGTTGAAAATCACTGGGAATTATGCTGCACAGTTAAATTTTATGTGAATTGCACTAATGTGTTTTATCAATCAACTAAGTTTCTTGACCTAGTTGCACTGTTTTTTGCTTAAGAGGCTTACAATGTCATCCTAAGCAGAGTTACACCCTATTTAAGGCCATTAATTTCAGTGGACTTAGAAGGGTGGAACTCTGTTTAGGATTATTGTCCTGTTTCTCAAACTAGTTTGCTATAGATGAATTGTCAGTGTATCTTATGTTCAACATGACCCCAACAGTGGATACTTAGAACTGATGGACTGGGACCATGTAGAGTGAAGGGAAATTTTTCAACAAACTTGGGGGGGGAGGAGAGCAGGTTTGCAGAAAAATCTGACAAGTTTTTAAAAATGGGGGGGGGTTAACTACCCCATGTGATCAGTGGTAGGGAGGAGGAGCTGAGATGCCTTGAGACAGCCCATGAATGCCTCTCCTCTAGAGGCCAATTGGTGGGGAGGAGAAACAAAGCAGAAGAAGAAGTGGAGTTGGCTTTTATACCCTGCTTTTCACTACCTGAAGGAGTCTCAGATTGGCTTACAATTGCCAGGACCCAGTGAGTGGGTAGGTTTGCTGGTCAGGGAGCTGGGGGTGGAAGCAACAGCATTAGTGTTGCCAGGAGGTAGGCCACCCAGCAAATGGCTGGCCCTCCAGGCAAGGGAGGAATGGGAATCCCCTGAGTCCTTGCTTGTGCTATAAAAATGACTAAATTGCACTGATCAGTTAAACTGATCAGTTGATTATAACTAAGTAACTATACTGTAGGTTATAACTAAGGAAAACAAACTTCTGTTTTGGGGTTGTGTAAGTATATTTTATGATGACCACTGCCACACCCTCCATCTGCCCCTCCCCCATGCTGTGGAGGCAGCATGTCTGTTTGTCTCACGCCTCACTATAAGCCGCCTGCAACTTGAAGGCACTTTACACTCACAAATATATTTTAACACTAAATATTCTAAAGTATCTTAGAACTTTTGAAAGTAATGCACATTTAAAACAAAAATACTGTGGACAAGAAAAGGTGAAGAAAGCTTGAGTTTGCAAACTCCCTAATCTTTCCTTTTAAAGAGAAAATTGGATTGCTAATTGTCCTTTCTCTCCCCTCCCCCCTTTAGGGTCGACATGTCAAGACAGGTCAACTGGCAGCCATCAAAGTCATGGATGTTACGGAGGTAAGTTCAGAAAGGTACCGTTATCCTAAAAATACTTTTTAGAAAAGGTTTTGTTCATCCCTGAATTCTTCATTTGTTTAGGAGAGGGATCTCAATGCTGATTTCTTGTCTGAGTGCCAAAACAGAAAGAATTGTGTTTTGGTCTGAAATGTAATAAATGTATACCCTTTTTAGGTTAGAAAGGAAATGTACCCAATAAAGATCCCAAAGGCCTAAATGCAGAAACATCTGCTGAAATGTTGCGCACATTTGTTGGCAGAATTCAACAGCGTAAAGCAGCAGTTGTAATGGACTCAGGAGGGTTTATTGTGGAGCTTCATATGAGAACAGAGAGAAATAAACATATACATGTACTTAAAAATATAAATGTACTTAAACCGTTATGTTTTAATAGCTTTAGTTGAAGGCGGTCATTTTTTCCTGCCAAGAAGCATTTTAGACATCTAAAAACGAAATGATAGTTCTGAGAGGATAATATCCACTGTTATCACACAGGCAAGATTTATTCATCAGCTGCATTTTATTAACTCAGCCTTGTCTGAAGCATTTTGAACCAAGCAAGCCTGCTGCTTGAAAACCAAAGCTCATTCTGCTTTGTGAAGAATAGAAGGAATTTTAATTGGAATAATGGCTGAGCTATGCTAAATTGCACTTTAGAGAATCTCAGGTTTGCTTGTTTGAGAGATTTACCTAAAAATTTAATTTTATTTCTATTTTTTTACTGGCTTAAATTATTTACCTTTTTGTGTATTTGGCTATGCAGCTGAAGCCTCTAGCAGGTCTGAGGGTTTGTGGGGAAGCAATTTTCAGAATTAAAGGGAACCAAGGAAGCAAACAGTGGTAGTACTTAGTTAAATCTATGAATCTGTGTTGCTGCAGAGGAACAGTGTTGTTTGCCAATATATGATGTATTGTATGTTTTAAGGTACATGCTGACATGGATGGGCCAGGCTAGCCCAATCTTGTTAGGTTGGAAGCTAAGCAGGGTTGGCCTTGGTTAGCATTTGGATGGGAGACCACCAAGAAAGTCCACGCTTGCTATGCAGCAGCAGGCAACAGCAAGCCGCCTCTAAACATCTCTTCCCTTGAAAACCCAATGAGGGGTTGCCGTAGGTCGGCAGTGACTTGAGGGTACTTTCCCATCCATATTTTAAGGACTTGTGTGTTCTGAACACGCCATACGATAATCTTAAAACCTACTTTAAAATATTCCCAGTGAATGACACCATTACACTCTCTGTAACTAATGTAGGGGTAAGGCAGTTCACCAAAAGTCAAGTGGTTTCTTAAAGCTAATTATTGATGTGCCTACAGTGTGGGGGTGGGCGGGCTGCAGTTCAGTAGAAAATTGACTCAAATCACACCCTTTTGCATGAGTTCTTTCATGAGCAGAGCAAGTTGCTTCCTTCTTTGTTCCCGAGGGTCCTTCAGTCCTCAGAAGCAGCTTGTGCAGAGAGAAAGGGAGGAAATCCATTTCATGAACTTCTTACGTTCACCACTGTTAAGTCTGAGCCATTCATTTCTTATATGTTTTTATACAGTATTTATAAACAAACAACTTTTTATACAGCTGATATATTTATTTAAAAGCTCTTAAAGGTTTTGTGCAATTTGAGGGTAAGTCAAGCTAGTGGAAAGAACTCTTTAATTTAAATATTAAAAAGACGAAATAGGGAAAATATGCAATTTTTAAGGGGAGAAAAAAGATTAGTATAGAATTTAAATGGTACAAAACTTTTTAAAAAGTGTATGTCATATGTTCAGGTCACATGAACTTGAAACTGGATGTGTAAAAGAGATTTAAGCACCTAAAGTCTCTTATCTTTCCATAGCAGATGTAGGGGAACATATTAGTGAAATGATTGTTCCTTTGGCAAAACTACCTGCTGGTGGTCAGCTTATTATAAACCTCTCTCAGTTTTATTTATTTTTTTTCCCTTGCAAGATGATGATGTAGCACATAAAATTTGTGGGTCTAAATATAATATTAATCTTTATAGTTGGTTTGCTGCTGCTCTCTTTTTTTCTGAAAGAATAATTCTTATTTGCATGAACTAGCACTGGTATGTATAATTTGTGAATTTTAATGAATATAATCACATTTGTACAAGTCAGCCAAAGAATTTTGCTTTTTCTATGTGGAAAAGTGTTTCAGTTCTGTTCAGCTGCAGTTAGGTAAGACCAGGTTTAAATGAAAAGAAGATAATTTGAACTGTATACAAACCCTTTTCATAGCACGTTAATAATATGTGTGGTAAAATACATTTTAGAATGCCATTTAAGATAGCACTGTTAACATTCTTTTTGGTTCTGTAATTTGGTCAGCAACTATTCATGTTTGTCATTTAAACTGTGCTCACTTTGCTTTGTACTTTTATAAAGCTACAATTTAAAAAAAATGGATTGAAGCTTTCCTTTTCACTTAACAACTCTAGGATTTCATAAGCGATACCTGAGCTATGGAACAGTCCTTGGAGTAAGGGGTTATAAGAGGTGGCCACCACCTCAGGATTGAAAGGGAGCCTTATTATTATTATTTTTTTAATAGGCTAATGTCAAAAACTCATCTGACTCTGTTTTTTAGGAATGAGAGGCAGGAACTCTCCACCTCTGGAGAAGGGGACAAGGTGGGGGCAAGAGAGCGATTACAATGCTAACTCCTTTACTGGGAGTCATCATTCTGATCTCCCCACCCCCACAGGCTTCTTGCTGGATCCCAGCAGCAAATCCACTGAAGAAGAAGTGTTGTTTTTATACCCTGCTTTTCTCTGCCATAAGGAATCTCAAAGCGGCTTACAATCGCCTTCCCTTCCTCTCCCCACAACAGGCAACTTGTGAGGTAGGTGGGGCTGAGAGAGTTCTGAGAGAACTGTCACTGGCCCAAGGTCACCCAGCAGGCCTCATGTGGAGGAGTGGGAGAAGCAAACCCAACTCTCCAGATCAGAATCTGCAGCTCTTAACCAGTACACAAATACACTTAACCAGTACACTAATACAGTGCACAATATACTACACAAATATTTGAGAGCTGGTGTGCTGTAGTGGTTAAGAACGGCGGACTCTAATCTGGAGAACTGGGTTTTATTTCCCACTTCTCCACATGAAGCCTGCTGGGTGACCTTGGGTTAGTCACAGTTCTCTCGGAGTTCTCTCGGCCTCACCTACCTCATAGGGTGTCTGTTGTGGGGAGAGGAAGGGAATGAGATTGCAAGCTGCTCTGAGATTCCTTTGGGTAGTGAAGAGCAGGGTCTAAAACCAGCTCTTCTTCCTCTTCTACATTATGCTGGCTCTCCAACAGCAAATTCATTGAGCTGTTTCCTTGGGGGGAAGGTAGGGATGTAACTCTTCCCTCTTTTGGTTTCCTATCTCAGGGGGGTGAGAAGATCAAAGAGGAAAAGTTCTTAAATGGTTTTGTGGGACGTAGTGAAGCCAGGTGATGTAACAGGGTGATGCACTTAACTCCATGATTCTTTCCGGCTCACAATTCTGTCCGTGTTTTGCCTCGGTATTTAAACTAGTAAGAAAGTTTCTTATTTGCAGAGCAAACCCCTCTTCCAATCAACAGCTGGGACTGGTTAGAACTTTGGTCAGGACATTTTTGAGTTGTGGCCCTGCAGAATCAACAACCCTCAGAAACCTGACTTGTACAATATAAATACTTTATTTAAACTTTAAAAATAACTGAAGCTGATATCGTGCTCACTGTATTGTTATGAGAACACTAAAGGATAGAATCCCTCATTGGGTGTGTGCTCACTTTTCTAAAGGGATCATTGTTTACAAATATTTGAAAGAGTCTTTGAATGTATGACTCTGTTAAGATCTCCTTGTAAATATGGGTTGGTCTGAGATGGAGCCAGTAAAAGCACATGAGGAGGCATATATGTTCTTTCAGTCTGTTCATGTTTGAAATTCTGAACAGGACTTATGTGATGCTGCTCAGTGAATATTTTCCCCCAGAACTTTTTTTTGGGCATGGCATTTTAAATTGTATATGGCCAGATCCTCTTCATCCTTAAAATTTTGACTAGTTCTTGATGTAATGTTAATGTTTTTGTTTCCTGATTCTGGAGAACTCCCGGGAAAATTAGTTTTATCTGTAATGTTGCTGTTTAAGTTCCATTTCTTGGCTTCACTTTTTATTTCTAGTCTGCTCCATGCAGAAGTAAACAGTTGAATACAATAACCCGCTTGGTTGTAAAGGAAGAATTGGATTACTTTTCATTGTCCTCCTGCTTCCCCCGCCAACTTGTCCTGAAGTGAAGTTTGTTTAGCCAGTGTCAACATTATATTATTGCCCCCTTATTCATCTGGATTTGGGTTCCCTGCAGTATTTTACACCAATGTTCATCTAATTCTTCCATGTAACAGTGATAGTCTGTGCAGTATAACTTTTATTTGAGCGGATCAGACCTATAGTCACATTAGCGGAATTCTCTTTGGATGGAGGCTACTTTTTCTCACACCCGCAAACTTGTATCCCTGTTTATATTTTGTTATAAAAAAAAGAGTCTCTAAAGTTGTTCCAAGAATTCTGCCTTGCACCTCCATTTTTCTTTTGGGGTCTTTAGATTATTCCAAGTTGAAAGCTGCTTTTCACTCAACAGAAAAGTCAAACTCCATAATGTCAGGTATGCTAAATTATGCACATTGTACAAAGTGTGTTTGAATCTCTCCTAACAAATTTGATTTATCAAAGGCAAACTGTGTTCAGAGCTGGAGCAGGTAATAATTTCAGGGCCACCTGTGGGTGCTTGGTCCTGATGTCATGCAGATAGGATTCGGGACACCTTGGATTCTTAGGAATCCGGGCATCCCTGGGTACAGCCCTGGGCATCCCGTTCAGCCATTGGAAGGGCTGTTACAGTGGACAACTGTAACAACTTCCTTTAGAAAAGCCCAGATTTGGCATAATCCACTGGAAACTGATTTCTGCTATGTATGAGCCACACACCACCAGCATGCCTAGATCTCAGTAGTCAGTGGGATATGGGAGTGAG